TATGGTAATTTTTATAATGCTTATAAGAATTTTTTGATTCTTTAAAGAATTATTTATTTACTTAGTGTCTGCTGAGGGTGTCAAATTTTGTGGGAGATAAAAAATATCTCTCCCAAGAACCTTAAAATCTGTTGAAGAATTAAAATGTCAATATAAATAACTGCAAAAGCCTGTAGAATATAAAAGGACCACAACTGAGGTATAGAATGAGTAATATGAATATTGAATGTGGGAGTGTTGTTCTCAACTGACAGAATGGGGAGTAAGTTGAACCACCAAAGATTCTGCAGATGAAGTAACACTGCGATGAGGAGGACACTATAGGGATGATATAAGGCAAACACTGAGTGACACCCTGTAGGGAAAAAGGGCATAGCAAAGAGGAATTGGAGAAGAATAGGAGCTAAAAAGTTTTGGAAAATATGTGTGAGCTTTTTTTTTTTTTTAATTGACATAAAATGTATTACTGGTTTCAGAGGTACAGGTCTGTGATTCATCTGTCTTATATAATACCCAGTGCTCATTATATCACATGCCCTCCTTAATGTCCATCACCCAGTTACCCCATCTTTCTACCTCCCTCCCCTCCAGCAACCCTCAGTTTGTTTCCTATGATTAAGAGTCTCTTATGGTTCGTCTCCCTCTCTGGTTTCATCTTATTTTACATTTTCCTCTCTTCCTCTATGATCCTGTGTTTTATTTCTTAAATTCCAAATATCAGTGAGATAATATGGGAAACAAAGGCAAAAATGAACTATTGGAACTTCAAGATAAAAAGCTTTTACATAGCATAAGAAACAGTTGGCAAAACCAAAAGATAACTGACTGAATGGGAGAAGATATTTGCAAATGACATATCAGATAAAGGACTAGTATCCAAAATCTATAAAGAACTTATCAAACTCAACACCCAAAGAACAAATAATCAATCAAGAAATGAGCATAAGACATGAACAGACATTTCTCCAAAGAAGACATCCAAATGGCCAACAGACCCATGAAAAATTGCTCCACATCTCTTAGCATCAGGGAAATCAAAATCAAAATCAAAATGAGATACCACCACACACCAGTCAGAATGGCTAAAATTAATAAGTCAGGAAATGACAGATGTTGGTAAGTATGCAGAGAAAGGGGAACCCTCCTACACTGTTGGTGGGAATATAAACTGGTGCAGCCACTCTGGAAACAGTATGGAGGTTCCTCAAACAGTTGAAAATAGAGCTACCCTATGACCCAGGAACTGCACTACAGGGTATTTATCCCAAAGATACAAATGTAGTGATCTGAAGGGGCACCTGTATCCCAATGTTTATAGCAACAATGTCCACAATAACAAAACTATGGAAAGAGCCCAGGTGTCCTGGGACAAACAGATGAATGGGTAAAGAAGATGTATCTCTCTCTCTCCACACACACATACACACGCACAATGGAATACTACTCAACCACCAAAAAAACCCAAAAATGAATTCTTGCCATTTGCAACAACATGGATGGAACTAGAAGGTATTATGCTAAGCTAAATAAGTCAATCAGAGAAAGACAATTATCCTATGATCTCATTGATATGTGGAATTTATCTGTGAGCTTATGTATGGACAACCTTGAATGCCAGGTCGAAGAGTAGAATTCCTCAGTTCTATTTCTTGAATGTATTTCAAGCTCTTTACTCTCTGTGTTGCATTGAATCTGTGAATATGAAAAATAAAAACAAAAACAAAAAAAAACCCAACCTGCCAGGGCAATGTGGTTTCACCCCTCAGGAAGTTCACATTGTAGATTTTCCAGATTTGATGTTAAGAGTGGGTAGATTAGGTGGACTATTTGATACTTGCAGTCAGTGGAGCTATGGAGTAGGATTTAGGAATAATTCAAGGCAATGTGTAAAAGAAAAAGTAGACAAGACTTGGCCCATATAACCTCAGTGCCAGCCATCCCAATTTTTTATTATGTTTGCAGGTTGGTGTGAAGAAGAAATCTAATTGGAATAAAGCTTTTTTTTTTTTTTCTTTCAGGAATCCCAAACTAATGTTCTGATTTCATTTAAATGAAGGTACTCTGACATAGAGTAGTCCCTAGAATGACTTATTTCTTTAATATGCATAACTGCACTCACTAATGAGGTAGAGGCATGGTGCCAGATTGTGAAAACACCAGTGTTCTGCCTTCTTAGGAGATCTCTCAGCAGCTCAAGATCATAGTGAGAGAAAATAAGTGACACTGAGGATTTGGTTGACTGGGGAGAGTAATGGAGGAAAGTAGGAAAAAGAGATTTTGTTGAAATTAAAGTATGGAATAAATAGGTGTAAAATTAAAAGTCACTCATAACAGCTTTAGATTAAGGAGATACATATCTTCCTCAACTTACCACAAGGTTATGTCTCAATAAACCCATCATAAGTTGAAAATATCATAAATAAAAATGCATTTAAATGCCTAACTTAATGAATATCATAGCTTAGCCTAGCCTCTCTTAAATGTGCTCAGAGCATTTACTTTAGCTTAGGTTGGGCAAAATCACCTAAACCAATGTCTACCTGATAACAGAGTGTTGAATATCTCATGTAATTTCTCTAATACTCAACTGAAGGTGAAAAACAGAACATTTGTATGGGCACAGAATGATACCCCAATGTTCATAGCAGCAATGTCCACAATAGCCAAACTATGGAAAGAGCCCATGTGTCCATGAACAGATGAATGGATAAAGAAGATGTGGTATCTATACATATGGTAATGCAGTATCTACTGCACATTGTTAGCCCAAGACAAGATTAAAATTTAAAATCTGAAGTATGGTTTTTACTGAGTGCATATTACTTTTGCATTACTATAAAGGTGAAAAAACTGTAAGTTGAACCATCATAAGTCAAGGACTTTGTGTATGGTATACTTAAAAAGTAAATGATTATTCTAAAATTCTGCTACTGAATTATTAAAGTAATTTAACTTTCCTCCATTTGGTAGGCAGGGTTCTTGAATGTCCCCTAAGATTCCTACCCCCCAAAGGGTATACCCTGTATAATCCCTTTTCTTTGATGGTGAATGGAACCTGTGAATATGATGATGTTTCCCCTGTGAATTAAATTTTATGGCAAAAGTGAAGGGATTTTTGCAGATGTGATTATAATTCCTCTAATCCATTAGCTTTTACTCAATCAGAAGGGAGGTTATTCTGGGTGAACTTTAAGAAAGAATCTTGAAGTCAGAAATGCTGTCTGCTATTGGCTTTGAAGAAGCAAGTCACCATGGGTGTTTCAGCTGAAAACAGATGACTTTTGCTAATGAACAGATGAGCTTGGAAGAGGATTCCAAGGCTCAGATCTGGCCATTGTCCTAGCTGGTTCTTGTTTGTTCCCTTTTGTCACATCTTGGGCAGAGTACCTAGCTGAGCAGAATTCAGACCTTTGACCTACAGAAACAGTGAGATAATAAATGGGTGTTATTTTAAGTTAAGTGTGTGGTAATTCGGTACATAGTAATAAAAAAAAAATGGGACACTTCTCATTGGATATATATTTTGAGGGCAGGAAAGCGGGGATAATATATTTGGAAAATATTTTTTACCAAATATCAAATGAAAATCTACTGATAATGCTCAATGGATTAGTCAGCCTAAAAAGATCCCATCTAAGTAGACTTCTTCCCCAACATCTGGCTCTTTCAAGAGGTAGGTATAATTTGGGACAGAACAGGCCATCAAATAGGGCATAAAATGGCCTTGTAGTACTGTGACAGAGAGAAAAAGATTCCCCTCTTTATCACAGTTGATTATCATTGGGACATTATCATTCGTTTGCTAATGGGAGAAAATACGTTATTTTGGTTAGAATTGGACTTGGATTTATTGACTTTATTTATCAGTTAATTGTCAGTTGAAAGCACAGCTATATAACTTATTCTATCTCTTTGTTTCTGTCTGGAAAATATACATATTTTTACATTGCACTGAGGAATGTGATTAAGAATTAAATCAAGAATTCATGAATCATATTGACATAGAAATAATGGTCATTAGTTTTATGTGAGTCTAATATTTGTGGAGGGTTTTGTTCCCACCCCTCCATTCTCCTGCTTGATTCCTGGCATAACAGAAATTTAGTTTTTGAAAAGGATGAAGAAATTAATAAAATACTGTAAGCAGAGTAAAGTTCCAGTACATGGCAACCTTTAGGAAGGAAAGGAAAAGAGGGGTAGTTCTCTATCAGTAAAATGGCAAAGGATTCAGTTATAAGAAGTGGTTCAGTGTGGCAGTAGACAGCTTTATTTGTCCCATAAATGTTTCTTCAGGAGGAAGAAACATGCCTGGGAAGGATGCTTCCTTCATCGCTTTCTTCTAATGGCTCGATTTGAAGGCCAATGCCACATTGCAACTGTAAGGAATGAAAAACAAAGTAACATAATTTTCAAGAACCTGAATCAGAGGCTGAGTAGAGATTGGGGGATACCTAAGTGGGGAGGGCAGAGGAATAAGAAGGGAAAGAAAAAAGGGAGGAAGAAAAAATAGATATCCTAATGTCTTTGATGAATGTATCTTGCATTGTCTACTGAGGAAGAAACATAATAAACGGTTTGACATTTCTCTTGAATTCTATTTCTGCATTTGATCTTACAATTTTACAACTCTTTAATAATGGAGCATATTTTTAGTTCTTTCAAACATTAAGGTTTAGATATAAGGTTACACTTTTTTGTTTATTAGGATTCTAAGAACCTGGAGATAATATAAGTCAACAAACAGGACTTCAAGTGTTTTGTATTAATAAGAGACACAGTATTATATCTTATAGATATGTGTAGATGTGAGCAGTATAAAATACAGCATTTGACATTTTCTATCAAATTCCTTTAAATAGTGCATATTTTGTCATATTAAATAAAACCATAAAAAATAAAATTATAAGAGTTTAGTAATAGTCTTCTTTATTTTGGTAATTATATGGATGCCTTGAACTCAAATCATCCTAAAATTGCCAGGCCTCACCACCTCTGAACTCTTTTTTTTTTTTTTTTTTTTTTACCAAAACAAAACAAAACTTAATTTACAATTGAAAACTTAAACAGAAAATCTTGGGTTCTGAATCTGTGACACTTCCAAGGTCTCTTGATCAAAAAGGGCCGCAGCAGGCAGGGAAGCAAACACAGGGGCCAATCCGGATTATCTTATTCAAGAGCATCACCCAGAGCAAGGAAGGCCCACAATGGCAGAGAGGTCAAGGTCTGATCAGTCTTGCTCTGGACTACATCTCCCCACACTGTGAGATCACCACAGGCAGCTTGGGCTTATTGTTGGGGCATGTGGGAACATTCTCGATCTTTTGCATCACTAGAAGTCCATCAATGATTTTTCCAAACACTATGTGTTTCCCATCCAGCCAATCACATTTAGAGCAGGTGATGAAGAACTGGCAGTCATTTGTAATGGGACCACTGTTTGCCATGGAAAGCAGTCCTGGAGCTGAGTGTCTAAGTTTAAAATTTTCATCTGCAAATGGCCCCCGGTAAATACTGGCAACTCCAGTACCATCTCCATTAACAAAATCCCCACCCTGAATCATGAAATCCTTTATGACCCTGTGGAAGGTGCTCCCTTTGTAGCCTATCGGAACCCCATCTCTTCTGAATTCTCCAGTGCAGAACTGCCTAAAATTCTCGGCCATCTTGGGCACAACGTCTGCAAAGCCAGTTGATGGTATGGGAATGGGATGATTTCCTCTATGCCCTCAGCTGCCTGGGTGGATATCCACTTAATCAGAAATGGAAGGTAGAGTGAAGAAGTTGAGGTCATAGCGAAGGAGAAGACTCATAGCAATCCCATGACACCACAGTGAAAGGGTTTCTTCTCCCTGTTCTACAGTGTTCCTTCCTGAATCATATCCAGGTAAGTGTTTTTCATCCTTGTACGAAATTAGAGTTCATAAGAAATTACCAGGCTTATGATCTTTTATGGTATAAAAAATAGACACAACTGTGTACTTTCATAGTCACTTAGATTTATTCAGCTTAAAGTTTCACATTCTCTTGATTGTCCTTCCTCTTTCAACCACAAACTGACCAGCTATGGACTTAGGTTCTCTCTAAATTTTCTGAAAAACACAACTGTACTTGCCATTACTACTTAATCAAAAACCAAAGGAGCTTCTACCACATAATTTTGTCCTGAAAATGCAGAATACTTTCTTTTTGGCCTCTATTAAAAAATATCCTCCTTTAATTATTTGGGTGCTAATTCATTTATGTATTCTACAGAGACATACAGATACAGATAGTTTTAATACAGCATCATCAGTGCTAGTAAGGACACTGAATTCTGTAGGAACTGAGGATGAAGTTTTTCACTGAACTTGAAAGTGGAGGCCTACACCAGGCCTCTGACCACAGAAAGTTCATCATAACTTTTCGACTCTTCTGTACTTTTAGAAACAACTTTGTCCCCTGTCTAAACTGGTTTCCTGTGCGGGGGGCTATGACCTGCACTAATCATCAACTCTTCCTCTAGAATCTTAATGTGCAATTTCTTTTAAAGAAAGTTGATTCTCTATGTTCTTAGTCTCCCTTTGTTCTGTGCCCATGTCCTATACCTTTGTCATGTAAAAATCATGACTTTTTCATCAGGAGAGCACTTATTTAGGCAAATATTTCTGAGACATGTCTCTTAAAGAGGAACACCAGGATAGGATATGTACACACCAGTTACTATTATTGTTTGGTCACTTGGACTTGTGTCATACTTGTAGTTTTATTTAAAAAAATATTTTTTGAAGAAGGGAATATGGGCTTACCCTACAATTGGTAAGACAGTATTAATCTGAATAAAGGGATTTTGAATATGTGAAAGGCTCACTTAAAGCTGACATTCTATTTTAGAGTTCTACCAATGACTTGGTTGAAGATTTGGAATGCAGTCTCATTAAAAATATGGATGATCAAAGCTTAGAAAGATAACAGAAATATCTGAGGATGGAACTGGGATTTCAAAATGAGTGATGACTAAAATAATCAAATGAAAATATTAGGATTTATGTAAATATTGAACTTGAGTTCAAGAAGTTAAAGTCATAAATACAGCTTAGTGTAACATCTGACTTGATAGCAGCTATTATTTAATACTAATTAATAATAAAGAAAAATGAGGAAGAGAAGAACTATGGAGATTTTCATTTAGGCCAGTTTATATGTTTTTTTTTTCTTTTTTTTTTTTTCAGTGTTCCAAAATTCATTGTTTACGTACCACACCCAGTGCTCCATGCAATACGTGCCCTCCATAATATCCACAACCAGGCTCACCAAACCCCCCTCCCCCCTCCCCTCCCAAACCCTCAGTTTGTTTCTCAGAGTCCACAGTCTCTAATGTTTTGTCTCCCCCTCCAATTTCCCCAACTCACTTTTCTCCATCTCCCTGTGTCCTCTGTGTTATTCCTTATGCTCAACAAGTAAGTGAAACCATATGATAATTGACTCTCTGTGCTTGACTTATTTCACTCAGCATAATCCCCTCCAGTTCCATCCATGCCGATGCAAATGGTGGGTATTCATCCTTTCTGATGGAGACATAATACTCCATTGTATATATGGACTATATCTTCTTTATCCATTCTTCTGTTGAATGGCATCTTGGTTCTTTCCACAGTTTGGTTTATTTTTTAAAAATATTTAATGTAATCTTCTCCCACATAATCTTATTAAAATAAAACATTCTATGAAAACATGCATATTCATGTGAACATATTTATGATCTCTATATGTTGATAAGAATGTAAAGTGAGACACGGGAGGCCACACAGATAGCAACTGCATTGGTTAGCTTAGGTGACTTCAGTTTTTTTTATTCAATCCTGTTTTAAAAATTTGAAGGTACAATTGCAATATATAAAATAATGTCAGGGGTAAGTGGAACTCCTAAAGAAGTAAGAATAATAATAGCAACAATAGCTCTCTAACTGTTATACTTAGCAAACTATAGTTTATATTATGTTCCATAGTTTATTATTAAAATTATTCTTTAACTTTAATTGGCTCCTTACAACTCTGTAAGGTAGGTAAAGTAGAAATTATTTTACTTTGTAGGTATTAACATAAACTCAGAGAAGCAAAGTGATTTATTTTGCTGTCAGTTCTAGTAGGTATAACAAGTACGTGAGTGTTTCTTTCCAGAGACATTATTCTGGATGAATCAGTACCATTTAGAGGAAGAAAGGACTGATTGGGTATTCTGTGTTAAATGTATGCATATCCGAGTATGAAAGTATACAATGTAAAGTCATATCTTAGAACATATTGTGTCTTTATAAATAATAAAATGATGGACCATAATGTGATTAAAGATAGAGATTTAATCATACTTTCCTTTTATTTAGTTGTTCTAATAGTGATATTGAACAAATAAAATTCATTAAAAGGAGTCTAAAAAGCGTGCTACATTCTGAAAACTGTGTTCTAAGAAAAATTATCTTGAAGTAATTGAACAATGTTTTATTAAAGAGCAAGCTCTAAAAGGGTAGGAACCATTTTGTTTTGTTCACAAATGGTTTTAGTACATAGTAGGTACAAAATAATTATTTGTTCAATGACTAGATGACATAATTTTATGTCTTTTTTTAAGGAAAGGCATTTGACTTATGCATAGAAGTAAGAACTGGAAGTTATATTGAATATATTTATCTAAGGAAGAAATTTCTCATGGTGAGTGCTTTTTAAATGTAAGGTTTTTAAAATTATTTGGAATTATTTACTGCAGGAGGAGTCTCTTAATTTTATGTATCTACATTTCAATTGAAGTACCAAAAACTGTTTTGCTAATAGTGGAATATTTCGAAGGCAAAGAATATGCCATGTACATTGGATACTTTTTCTGCTAAAACATGGACCATTATAAAAAATAAAATAATTTTCCTGACCTCAAGTAAAAGACTAAATAATGAATTATTTTTTTGAATTGAAATAATGTCACTTCAGGAATAGGCAGTGTGGCTAGGACTAGGATTAGAAATTTGTGAAAGTAAATAATCCTCCAAAATCTCAATATTTTTATTTTTAAAATTTTTTAAATTAACATATAATGTATTATTAGCCCCAGGGGTACAGGTCTGTGAATCACCAGGTTTACACACTTCACAGCACTCACCATAGCACATAACTCTCCATAATGTCCATAACCCCACCACCCTCTCCCTACCCCCCTCCCCCCTGGCAACCCTCAGTTTGTTTTGTGAGATTAAGAGTCTCTTATGATTTGTCTCCCTCCCCGATTCCATCTTGTTTCATTTATTCTTTTCCTACCCCAAAACCCCCCACATTGCATCTCCACTTCCTCATATCAGGGAGATCATATAATTGTTTTTCTCTGATTGACTTATTTTGCTAAGCATAAAACCCTCTAGTTCCATCCACGTCATCACAAATGGCAAGATTTCATTTCTTTTGATGGCTGCATAGTATTCCATTGTATATATATACCACATCTTCTTGATCCATTCATCTGTTGATGGACATCTAGGTTCTTTTCATAGTTTGGCTATTGTGGACATTGCTGTTATAAACATTCAGGTGCACATGCCCCTTTGGATCACTACATTTGTATCTTTAGGGTAAATACAATTTACAAATTTTAGTAATTTTTAACAATTCTAACTTCACATTTACTTAGGTATGGTTTTTCTGCTAGTCATTCTAATTTTTAACGTGAAATGGCCACAGGGAAAAAGGACATAACTGAAAGAAATCTTCAGATTTTGGTCGGAGAGTGGTTGTAGATAATCTGCAGATTACTAGACTGTTTAGTGGGAGAAAAAAGAGTTTTGATGATGTATCCATAGCTTTTGAACTTCATTTTTGTATTTTCTTGCATAAGGGTAGGTCCTTTGAAGTCATGAATGTAACAGGAATATCCATGTGGAATATTGTTGGGAGACCTTAATTTTGCCTTTCAAAAGCACTGAATTCAGAGAAGGGAATTCAGAGTACAGTATGCTTTAGGAATGTAATAGATTTTTTTTTTTTTCAATTTAGTTAACATATAGTGTACTATTAGTTTCAGGGGTAGAATTCAGTGACTCATCAGTTGCATAGAACACCCAGTGCTCATTACATACAGTGCCCTCCTTAATGCCCATCATCCAATTACCCCACCCCCTCACCCACCTCTCCTCCAGGAAACCTCAATTTGTTCTCTTAAGAGTCTCTTACGGTTTGCCTCCTACTCTGTTTTTATCTTATTTTTCTTCCCCTTTCCCTACGTTCATTTGTTTTGTCTCTTAAATTCCACATGTGAGTGAAATCAGATAATATTTGTCTTTCTCTGACTTATTTAGTTTAGTATGATAGTTCCACCCATGTCTTTGCAAATAGTAAGATTTCTTTCTTTTTGATGGCCTAGTAATAAGGAATATAATAGATTTTGATAGTCTCCAGGAAGACATGTTTTTATTTTGTTTTAAAGTAAGTGACCTATTTATTTTTTGATGAATGGTTTATTTCTTAAATACAAATCAGACTGAACTGATTTTGTTGAGTGTTAACCTCATTATTCAAATCATTTGTAAGGGGAGATTTGTACAATGCAAATTAGGTAACTTGAAATAATGAGACACAATACTTTATACTGACAGATATATACATCATTAAATTTTTGAACACATTAAAAAATATATAGATTAAAGAATAAT